ATACCATGTCAGAAACTCCTTACAACCTAGTGGTCTGTAGCATATACCATGTCGGAAACTCCTTACAACTTAGTGGTCTGTAGCACATACCATGTCGGAAAATCCTTACAACCTAGTGGTTTGTAGCACATACCATGTCAGAAACTCCTTACAACCTAGTGGTCTGTAGCACATACCATGTCGGAAAATCCTTACAACCTAGTGGTTTGTAGCACATACCATGTCAGAAACTCCTTACAACCTAGTGGTCTGTAGCACATACCATGTCGGAAACTCCTTACAACCTAGTGGTCTGTAGTACATCGCTCGTTTTATGTCGCTAATGTTCAAATGCATCTAGACCTAGCCTAATGCTGCAACAAACTTCCATCTCTAACGTGCGACGTGTTTTTCGTATAATTCTCTATAACTTATCGTCCTCTCACCAATTTACCTGTGAGTAACCTGTGAAGAACCTTTTTTTTTTTGCTTTTTACAAGGGCAATAGTTTTATGAATCCATTTTTTACAGTTGATTGGGATGTATATAACTTGTTAGGAATCACGTTCCAGGATGGGAAAAGAGGGTTTGGGCGATCAGTCTGTAAGTTTTTGTAATGGTACGGCAGTCTTGAGTGTAGTGGGATGCTTTTTAAGAGGATTTGCAAGCGCATGCTCATCTGTTATTGTCGATCTATTCACTAAATATTATAAATATATAATTATCTTAAAACGCTAGTTTGATCCCGGGTTTTACATTTCTTTGCTATTTTACTTTAAGAATATCTTTCCTCACATTTGGCTGTGTCATATTTTTGTTCTACCACTTTGGCGATATTGTTGGGAATCCATTATTAACCAAATATAGTGGTGGTAAACATATTGTCTGTGGCATCAGGGCTCGCATCTGTGGCAAACGCCACTACATTGGATATACATTTAGTTCTTGTAAAGTGCGAATAACCCTAATTCAATTTTGACGTAACCGTTCAGCAACTGATTTAACGGACTGGTAATATCTCAGTTGGACATTTTAGTTCTTTTCGGTTGTGACATACAGTGCCAGAATAATTTGTTTTTTGTTTTGAATTTCGCGCAAAGCTAAACGAGGGCTATCTGCGCTAGCCGTCCCTAATTTGACAGTGTAAGACTAGAGGGAAGGCAGCTAGTCATCACCGCCAACTCTTGGGCTACTCTTTTACCAGTGAATAGTGGGATTGACCGTCACATTATAACTCCCCACGGCTGAAAGGGCGAGCATGTTTGGAGATTCGAACCCGCGACCCACAGATTGCGAGTCGAGCGCCCTAACCACCTGGCCATGTCGGGCCCGCCAGAATAATTATACTTGTGATTGATAAGAAACCGATTTTATAGGAGAAAAAAAGTAGAACAGCGTTATTTTCCTAGAAAGATTACGGGTATTCTATAATGAAACAATGTATTGAAACAATGAGGAATACTCATGTCTTAAAGACCTGAAAAACTTTGGTCAAACAATATATTGGTATATATATTGTTATTATAAAAGCGGCTGAACAATCATTAATAGTCCGTAATTATTAATTATATGTAAAAAGGAAAGAATAAAAATACAGGTAGAGGGTTTAAGCAGGCGTAATTCCCAAAGCCCCGTTTATAAAAATGACAAAAAAAAACTGTGATAATTAATAACACACCTGCTTAACGTTAAACGAAAATGGAACATTAACTAGATAGAAAAAATGGGTTATGTTATATAGAACTACGTCAGGCTCGAGCATTCCTTTTACTTCTCTTGTCAGAAAAAAAAATGCTTGAAAAGTGATTTAGCCATAGTCATATAAACTTGGATGACAATGGAAACCATCGTTTCAAATATCAAGAAGAATGTGCTGAGATCAGTTGTTTTTTTCCTTTTTGTTGTTGTTTTTGGAAGACATTTTTCTCTTCGATGAAAGTGACATCCAATAGCTGAAACTGTTTACCAAGAACACGCTATAAAATTAACACGCGTTTGGTTGGTATATGTGTTTTATGAAACTGAAATAAGCCATCTTCATCTAAAATATATAAAACGAGGGTCTTACCTTTTGTAAGGTAAGACCAGCTTATTTGACTTTAGATTAAAACATGTTTTTCATCCTTGTGCATGTTGGAAGACCAAATATCAAATTGATGTTGAACATTCAAAGTCAATATGAGGTATTACAGCTCAAAACGAGAATTTCAAATTGTTAAATAAAAGTCCAAATAATCATCCGTGGTCTTAATCTAATTTATTAAATATACCTATAATTTCCAAGCACTCGAGCCCCCCCAGTGCCACAGCGGTATGTCTGCGGACTTGCAACGCTAAAAACTGGGTTTTGATACCTGTGGTAGGCAGAGCACAGATAGTCCATTGTGTAGCTTTGTGCTTAATTACAAACAACCAACCAAATACTCGAATTTAGTATTACACCGTTGTTACCAACTATTAATCATGCTATTAAACGTCACATATTGGTGTTCCACTAAAGACAGAACTTGATACAGAGCTAAATTAAAACCGTAAATTAAGATGAATACTTTGTTTCGTGTGTGAAAGAAACATAGACATTGTACAATGGAAAGCGAAATGTGTGCTCATGTATACAACAAAGATAGTGTGAGCTACGAACAGTGTGAGTTTCGGTTTCGTGTGTGAAAGAAACATAGACATTGTACAATGGAAAGCGAAATGTGTGCTCATGTATACAACAAGGATAGTGTGAGCTACGAACAGTTTGAGTTTCTGTCTTCATCACAAAAGAGCTGATTGAGAAGAAGGTTCTTCAGTGAAATCATCAGTTTTAGATTAAATCAGATTACGATGACCGTGACTGTAAGAGGCTCATTTATTTATTTTAACGAGACAAGTAATCCACCCACGCCACGTATATTGCAAGTTGCAATTAATATGAAATATACAAAATAAATCTACTCACGGTATATTCACTTGGACTTGGCATGTCATTAGAAATTTCTTCAAACCTTCGGCTGTGAGTTATGAATCTCCCTCCAGGGGTTGACCAATAGTTGTTAATATTGTAAGATCCAGGTCCTGTTGAAAAGAAACATCGTGCTTATATCATTGATCGATATAAAAGGAATACATATAGGTTTTACTAGACAAAAAAAAAAAGATCAATATGGATTTTCGTACTTGCATCAAAGACCCGATAAAAGTTTGAAAAATACGATATACAGACATTATAAGTTAAGCAACATATAAAAAGTACAGGTAAAATAAAATAAGATTTTAAAAGTAACTTAGAAACGCTGTTTTAAAACAACATTTGAAATATTGTAGGAACATTGTTTCTAAAAGACATTAGCATTTATTTCATATTAATGTTTAGATCTGCTCTAATTATGGAGCAAGGCATAGTTTAGTAGTTAGGCTGCCAGACTATGAATCTGAAGAATCCAAGAGCGCGTGCCGTTGTCGTAAAAAATAATTAATAAATATAATCACGTTTTGTACTTTAGGTCCATGACAGCGTTATAAGAGCGACAGTTAAATCCTATGGTTAGATTAGAGTAGTCCAAGATAAATTATCTGCTCCTGGTCTATCATTAAAATATAGGGACGTGCAGCGCAGATATGCCATTGTAGAGCTTTGTGAGAAAATACGGAATAAACTAAACATTTGACCATGATGGGAACATCGCTAGAAGTTTGACAGTGGTGTAGTTCTAAAA